TGGGAGTTTGGTGCAGTATTTACATAAAATCGGACGAAACTATATATGGGGGCTATATCTAAACTGATTTCAACAAAAATTAGCATACATTAATTTGGACATAAGTCAGTGCTCTGTGCTAAATGTTGTCTCAATCGGACCAATATTGGGAGTTTACACAAAATCGGACGAAATTATATATGGGAACTATGTCTAAATATAAACTGATTTCCAACTCGTGAACATTTTCTTAAAACCAAGTATATTATGACTGCATCGATGAACTTAAATATATGTATGGCGATGAGACACCGTCCTTTAGGATTTTTGTGTAAAAGAAAATCTTAGTGCCGATCTTAGTTTTCGTATAGAATACATAGAACAACCTCCAGCAAATTTTGTTTTTCGTTCGGTCCCACGCCATTCACTCCTACCCCAGCCAAGGTGGGAACGACCTTCCTATAACGAAAGGTACGCGAACACTCCATGTCCGGATTGTGCTCACTAGGTAAGTAAGGATGTCAGCAAGATTGAATCGTAAAGGCCAATTACACTTCTATCGTCAGTAGCTAAGAGACTTGACTCGTTTAGAAACAGTTTTCTAGTAGCCGAACACCAATTTGGATTTCGTAAATAGCACAGCCAAACAACTGTTCGAAGACATCGAGAAATATTAGATAATCAAGTTTTCTTTCACTGCGTTTCAATAATCCTAATAAATATTTGACTTTATTAATGCAAGACTCTATACTAAGCTCAGTTTACACACATTTATTAAAAAAAAACTCAGAATTTTTTTGTAATTTTTTGTTTACATATCTACATATTTTTCCAGATAATAAAACGGGACGCCCTTCTTTGCAAATATTAAAAGGAAATTGCTCTCAAAAAATGTTACAGATCTTCAAAAATTGATAAACGAACTGTGGGGAACTTCGCTTCATATGTAAGCCATTCAATCATAATCAAATATTTATATTCCACTTATAGATACCAATTATGAAAAAAATGTTGTCACTTCCTGAACATTCGGGTGCAATGAACGGAAAACTTTAATTTTGTCAGATGTTCTAGTCGCTCTAGAGGCAAATATTATATGCAGAACATCACATATTTTACAAGGTGAAGGGGATCTGACCAAATACTTCGAGCGGAAATTTTGCATGTAGGATGGGTTTTGGCCAATGAAGACACCTATTGTTTTTGGAAAAGATCGGTTAATATTTAGGGGATGAAATGGACCAAAAACTTTATTTTTGTCGGTTTTTCTGGTTGCTCCAGAGGCCGCAAATATGGCCCAAACACCGCGAATTTTTGAATGGAGAAGGAGATCGGGTCAAAGAATATTCTATAGAGTATATATTAACCCCTGTAGGACATAGACCCGATAAGTTCACAGTATATCCAAGAGGAGTGGTTGACCTTTAAATTAATACCAATTATATTGTCGTAGGTACTCGGATGAGGGAGTTTAACTTATATATTTACAGGTGCTTACGGATTCATATATTATTTAGTAACCTATTACCACACTGGAGGGCGGAAATATAGCGCTGATCGCTTTGAAATGTTCCATGAGATTCCAGTTATGGTCAAGGACAACGCCTAAAATGTTATGTGATGATCAGATAATAATATTGGGATGAAGTGGACCGAAAACTTAAATATTTAAAATTTTCGAGTCGACAGCCGAACATCACAACACAACCCACGGTGAAGGGAATCTCTACAATTAATTAGAGGGGCTGTACTGATTTTTAGAAACATTTGCTGACCTCTAGCCAGTCAAAAGTGTGCAAATATCGCGAAATATTGTCTAATCTCAGAATATAGAACCACAGAATGTTAGATTTTCATGGAAGTTGTGTAGGGTATCGTATGGTCGGCCCCGTCCGACTATAATGCTCGGCTCACTGGTTTTTAAATTTTTGACCACAAAAATATGCGATTTTCCAAAAATATGTTTTCAATGATCCGCCATTTGGTTAATTTTTGAGCGAAGTGAATAATCCTAGTTTATACGAGAGCTAGACATGTACTCTTTCTAACACAGTTAGAATTTTCGGATTCCCATTTTCCAGTGAGTTATTTATCATGCCCGCCATCAAAAATATGGACTTTATTTAATCACAAAAAACAACAACAAAACAATAAAACAATTGTAAATTATTTTTCCTTTAAATCTTGAAAAATATATATCTGCAAAGTTATAAAACTTAACAAACTTTGGTACAGATTTACTGGCCCCTTGAAAATCTTGAAAATTTTAAATCAAGAAAGGGGGGGGGTTTCCCTTAAATATAACCTAAATATGTTCATATGTTCTCATTTTTTTCTTCGATTTCATTTAATTCAACATTTCACACATTAGGCTATAAATCGCAGTTTAACAAAATATTTTCGTGCAAAAAAAAAAAAAAAAAAAAAAAAAAAACGAATATTTGTCATGATCAACAAGAAACTAAAATTCAATTATGAAATACCAAACATTTCGGTCACGCTCCAATATCCGAACATTTGTCACATTTATTTCACAATGATTGGCGTTGAGACAATTTTAATGAGTTTTACCCAAAGCCTGACAATTTGTTGGCCAACTGTGTCACAAATCTTGGCATTTTAATCAGTAATTGTGAATTATTGTCGTCGAAGTTGTAAATTAAACACTGCATTTACAACAACAGCAAAAGCAATAATAAAGAAGTTGTTGTTTTTACACTTTTCACAATTCATAATTTAGTTAGGTTAGGAAATTTGGAGTTGATCCAACTTGGCAACAACAACAATGAAGGTGTCTGGTGGACGGAGGTGTTTTGCTAAATACTTCATGGCTTGGCTGATTGGCTGCCCGATCACAATCAAATGGTCTTAATAGCGACAAGGAAAATTACATCATTTTTGGGGTTTCTTTTTTGGAGTTTAACGCTGTTTTTCATGTTGTTTTAACTCCGCCTTTAACAGCTCATAAGTTTGGTTATTACTTTTTTAATAAATAGACAACAGTGGTTTCTATGTGCATATGGTCAATTGAAAATGTCAGAGCTGGAAGGATAAATGGTGATTTCAGACTTCATAAGATGAGAAGTTTCAGGCATTCTACTTCTCCCACTACTTGAAAGTGGTGTCACGTGAGCTCACTTTCAAATAAAAATAACGAAAAGTCGGACCTGAGTTTGGAGATGATCAAAAGAAAATAATTTCAAAGAAGTCCCATTGACAACTGTAAAAATCTTTAGAACAATTACCAAGTTCCTATTGATAATCAACCCAGTTCTTTCGAATAACCTATAATCAGTGTTTTAAATTTTTTTTTCTTCGGGGATATAATATTCGATCCCAAGTATTAATGTTCTATACTTCTGGTGGAGCGCATGCAAACTTCGTTACGATCGTACATAAGTAAATTAAACTTCATTCACCACACTGTGGTACAGGGTATTATGTCTTTGTGCAACCAAATTCCCTTTATATCTCTCGATTTGCACGAAATTTGGTATGGCGTTCTGAATTATGTCTAGAATAATGTGTGCTAAGTTTTATAAAAATCGGTTCAGATTTTGATGTAGCTCCCAAATATATTTTCGTCCGATTTAAGGTATATTGTGTACCAAAGTCCCTATATATCTTTCGATTTGCACGAAATTTGGCACAGCATAATGATTTAGGTCTAGCATGATGTGTGTTAAGTTTCGTGAAAATCGGTTCAGATTTGAATATAGCTCCCATATATATTTCCGTCCGATTTAAGGTAAATGGTGTACCAAAGTCTCTATATATCTTTCGATTTGCACGAAATTTGCCACAGCGTACTGATTTAAGTCTAGAACGATGTGTGTTAAATTTCGTGAAAATCGGTTCAGATTTAGATATAGCTCTTATATATATTTTCGTCCGATTTTAGGTAAATAGTGCAACACAGTCCCTTTTTATCTTTCGATTTGCACGAAATTTGGCACAGCATAATGATTTAGGTCTAGCATGATGTGTGTTAAGTTTCGTGAAAATCGGTTCAGATTTGAATATAGCTCCCATATATATTTCCGTCCGATTTAAGGTAAATGGTGTACCAAAGTCTCTATATATCTTTCGATTTGCACGAAATTTGCCACAGCGTACTGATTTAAGTCTAGAACGATGTGTGTTAAATTTCGTGAAAATCGGTTCAGATTTAGATATAGCTCTTATATATATTTTCGTCCGATTTTAGGTAAATAGTGCAACACAGTCCCTTTATATCCTTTGATTTGCACAAAATTTGGCATAGCGTACTGAATTAAGTCTAGAGAGATGTTTGTTAATTTTCGTACCGAATAGCGTGTATCAATTTTGCTATAAATTGTTTTTTAGGATTCATATGTACAATATACCCAAAGTGGTGAAGGGTATCATATAGTCGGCCAAGTCCGACTTTACTACTTTCCTTACTGGTTTAAAATTAGTTCAAATATCTATGTAGTCCACACATTTAATTTCGTCATGCCTACAGGATATTGTACATATGAACGTCTCTTGTAGTCACCAAAAGTGCTGAAGGGTATCATATAGTCGGCTCCGTCCGACTTTTGAACTTTCCTTACTGGCTTTGTCATGGGAGCGACATTATATCCCCAAATGTTTACAATATGATTTTTTTTTCTAAAATAAATGTATATCCGCTGTGATTTTGATTACGAATTTGGGACAAAAAATATATATTTTGAAATACATGGAACACTTAGGAAACAAAGGAGGAATTTAAACATTTCGATAGGTGATTTTTTCTAGATAAAACAATAACTTAGGAAATAAGCATGTGTGATATTAAAACCTAAAACTGAGCACTTTGAAAACATTCAACAGAAGTTAAGCGAAGCAACTGGACGAGTTACGGAAATGGCAATCTTTATTAAAGTCGAAGCATTTAGCTTGCTTTTAATAATTTTCAAAATTTGCAATGGAATTCTAGGGGATGAGGTAAATAGTTGTAATTGTACACAAAAGATATTTGAAATATTTTCAAAAATTTTATTTTTTTATTTCAGATAATTGTTGCCACAAAATCCCAACAAAATGAGATATTTTCTGACATTCATGAAAAATTAAATGAACTGGAGCAAAATTTCACAAACACGCAACAAATATTAGAGGAAACTCAAAAGAATTTAACACTCTGTATAAATGAAAATCCCCAAATCAATGGAATTTTAGAGAAAATATATAAACTGGAGATGAGTGTAAAAGATATGCGAGGAAATTGCAAACAGCCGTGTGACATTGTCATACAAAGACGAATGGATGGTTCCGAAGATTTCTATCGTACCTGGGCCGATTATAAACATGGATTTGGTAATAGTTCTGGAGAATTTTTCATTGGTCTGGATAAATTGAACGAACTTACCAATTCACGTCCCTATGAGCTGCTGATTGTCATGGAAGACTGGGAAAATGATAGACGTTTTGCTCGATATGATCAATTTATAATTGGCACAGAAGCGGAAAAGTATGTCCTCAGGGTATTGGGGAAATATAGTGGTTCGGCTGGTGATGGTTTGACATATTCACTGGGTTCGAAATTTAGTACCAAGGATCAAGACAATGATGAATGGTCAAAAAATTGTGCTGTTGAATATACTGGAGCTTGGTGGTATAAGCAATGTCATTACAGGTGCGTCCGTTGCGATTTGAATAGACAGAAAAATAATAATTTTTATTTTCTTCAATAGCAATCTGAACGGAAGTTATCTGAGAGGTAAAAACAAGCAATATGGACAAGGAGTTATCTGGCACCCATTAAAAGGAGATTATTATTCGATGAAATTCATTGAAATGATTATACGTCCTAATTAAATTGCATGGAGATTGATTCTTCTTGTTTTTCTTTGGTTTTGGCTTAGCCATATTTATTGAATAGAAACTTAAAACTAAACAGCATGGCCTACTGATAATTAACAATAAATAAACATATAGCTATTCGCCATCTTCTAAATACAGCGACTTCTGGCATTTTCTTCGCTCTTCTATACCCTTTTCTGGGTTACAAAATGTGTTTATCGTTATCGATAATACTCTTAAAAGATCGATAACATTATAATATTATTTACATAATTTTAAACTAGGATTGTATTAATAAGCTTAAATATAATTGTATAAATAAGGTAAATGAGGTTTACATAAATTCATAGTTATCTTGATTTGTTTAAACCAGTGAGCGGAGCAGTATAGTCGGACGGGGCCGACCCTTCACAACTTCCATGAAAATCTAACATTCTGTGGTTCTATATTCTGAGATTGGGCAATATTTCGCGATATTTGCACACTTTTGACTGGCTAGAGGTCAGCAAATGTTTCTAAAAATCAGTACAGCCCCTCTAATTAATTGTACAGATTGCTTTCACCGTGGGTTGTGTTGTGATGTTCGGCTTTCGACTCGAAAAGTTTAAATAATTAAGTTTTCGGTCCACTTCATCCGAAAAATTATTATCTGATCATCACATAACATTTTAAGCGTTGTCCTTGACCATAACTGGAACCTCATGGAACATTTCACAGTGATCAGCGCTATATTTCCGCCCTCCAGTGTGGTAATAGGTTACTAAATAATATATGAATACGTAAGCACCTGTAAATATTTAAGTGTAAATCCCTCAATATAATTGGTATCAATTTTAAGGTCAACCATACCTTTTGGATATACTATCAACTTCTCGGGCCTATGTCCTTCAAGAGTAAATATATACGCCATAGAATAAAAATTTTGTCGTTTTCACACAAAAGTTAGGGTCCATTTGACCCGCTAAATATTGACCGATCCTTATCAAAACGGATATGCTTATTCTTTGACTCGATCCCCTTCCCCATTCAAAAATTCGCGGTGTTTGGGCCATAATTGCGGCCTCTGGAGCGAGCAGAGAAACCGACAAAAATTTATTATTTGGTCCATTTCATCCTCTAAATATTAACCGATCTTTCCCAAAAACAATAGGGGTCTTCATTGGCCAGAACCCATCCTACATGCAAAATTTCGTGAAGATTGGTCCATAACTGTGGCCTGTATCGTGTTTACAAATTATAATGGACAGACGGACGGACGGACACACATGTCTAGATCGACTCAGCTAGTCGAGATATGACGATCGGTATGCTTAAAGGTGGGTCTAGGACCAATATTTCGCGGCGTTACAAACTTTTGGGGCTGCACAAAGCTATAATACCCTGACAACATGTTGTGTAGGGTATAATTAAGGCTGTTAATGCAAATTAAGACTGTCGTCTGTCTAGGCTTATTTATTGAATAAAAGGCGTATAACTAAACAGAATGGCCTACTGATAATTTAATCTATACTAATAAAAGAGTAAAGTGATTGACTGACTGATTTAACGATTCATCAACGCCCAGACGAAACGGCTGAAGCTAGAATCTTGAAATTTTGGGTGAGGGTCACTCTTGGCCCAAATGTGACAGATAAGGCTGGGTTTTTGGAAATTCGTACTAAAAGGGTACGAAAAGTACTAAGAAGTACTAAATATGATATCATTTGTATTTGGCGAACCAGTAGAGCTAGAACTCTGAAATTTGGATTGAGGGTCACTGATGGAGTGTAGGATAGATGTACCAAAGGGTTTTTGGAAATTCGAACTACAACTGTCCGAAATGTACGAAAATGTACTAAATTTGGTACAATTCTGTAGCATGAGAACGGATAGAGCTAAAAACATGAAATTTGGAATGCGAATTAGGGTTGGGAAGTAGGGTCGATATAAGGAGATGGTTTTGAAACCGTGTATTCATGTGTACGAAAAGTACTATATGGTACTATATTTGGTACAAATTTGATTTGGAGGTACAAATGGAGCTTGAATCCTGAAAATTGATATTAACATTACCGTTGGAGTATAGGATTGGGGTATGTACGTAGTTTTGGAAATTTGTTACTTATGAGTACGAAAAGTACTAAATCGTACTATAATTGGGATGTGTAGAATGTTTTAAAAATTCGTACTACTGTGTACCAAATTTTGTACAATTTAAATTGTGGGTGAACAGATAGAGTTGGAATCCTGAAACATGGATTTAGTATCACTCTTGGGGTGAAGTTTTGGGTTAAGTAGGATGTTTTGGAAATTCGTACTACTGTGTACTAAATTTGGTACAATTTGAATTGTGGGTCAACCGATAAAGTTGGAATCCTGAAACTTGGATTTAGGAACACTGTGGGGGTGTTGGTTTGGGCTAAGAAGGAGGTTTTGGAAATTCGATTTATTGTGTACTAAATTTGGTACAATTTGAATTGTGGGTGAACCTATAGAGTTGGAATCCTAAAACTTGTATTTACGATCACTGTAGGGATGTAGGATTGAGGTAGGTAGGAAGTTTTGGAAAGTGGTACTACTGTGTACTAACTTTGGTACAATTTGAATTGTAGGTCAACCGATAAAGTTGGAATCCTGAAACTTGGATTTAGGATGACTGTGGGGGTGTAAGAAGTTTTGGACATTGGTACAACTATGTACTAAATTTGGTACAATTTGAATTGTGGGTGAACCAATAGAGTTGGAATCCTGAAACTTGAATTTAGGATGACTGTGCGGGTGTAGGATTGATGTATGTAGGAAGTTTTGAACATTGGTACAACTATGTACTAAATTTGCTACAATTTAAATTGTGGGTGAACCAATAGAGTTGGAATTCTGAAACTTGGATTTAGGATCACTGTGGGAGTGTATGTTTGGGTTAAGTAGAAAGTTTTGGATATTCGTACTACTGTGTACTAAATATGATACTATTTGGATTATAATTAAGATTTTATCTAATTCATGATGTCAATTGGATTGCATGATGTTGGTAGTAATTGAAATTTTTACTTATGTATTCTAACTGGTACTAAATGTGATACAAATTGGATTTAGGTGAGCCGATAGAATTCTGAAATTTGGAATTAAGATTGAGGTATGTAGGAAGTGTTGTAAATTCGTACTGATGATTGTTAAAGTAGGTAGTTATGGAAATTTATATTAATGTGCACTAACTGATACTCAATTTGGATTTGGGTGAAGCTATATTAGATTTTTTTCAAAATAAGTATTACAAGAGTACAAATAGTAAAAAAATTACACCAAATTTAGTATAGAGGTAGATTTCTGTTGCGGTCGGAATGGGTGTGTAGGTTTGAGATATGGAGGTAGATTTGAGAACATACTATGGCAGAACATACTAAATGGTTCTAAAATTTTAATAGTGGTCGATATAGGGTTTTAAATACATCCCACATTCGCTAACGAAGTAGCGGGTATATGCGTCCACTAGCATATACCTGAAAAGTACTGTACTTATTTCTATGAATATTTGAAAATGTAAATACAATTATTAACAGTTCTGACGAAATGCTCGCAAAATGCTGTCTTATTGGAGATTTTAACACATTTCTACAGGGTGCTTAATTAACGCTTACTGACAACCAACAATGTTGCTAATTTAATAACTTTTATAATATAAATTTCTAAAAAACAAATAGTTTGTTTTGAGACTTATAGTGAAATTTGAATGTAGAAGAGTTTATTCTTTGATACTATGCACGAAAAATGAAGTTTTATATTGCTTTCATAAACTTTATTGAAAAAAAGTACTGTGAAACGGATTAACTTTATTTTATTCCAATTATGTATTGTAAAAGGCCTCTAGTTGGGCGTCAATGGAACTTTAGATGTGTTGGATGTCTGCAAAACATCCAATGCTCCGAAATTTGTAGCGATTCATAAATAATAATAATAAGGATTTGGTTATTTTGAAATACATACTTTATTACTATTCTGCGCAATCTTATCAGATGGATACGATGTATCGTGTTTGAATGGAGATTGCTTAATGAGTGACTTCTTGATTTTTTTTTTGTTTTGGCATAGCCATATTTATTGAATAAAAGACTTATAACTAAACAGCATGACCTACTGATAATTTAACAATAAATAAACATATAGCTGTTCGCCATCTTCTAAATAGCGAATTCTTGTATTTTCTTCGCTCTTTTATACCCTTTTCTGGGTTACAAAATATGTTTATCGTTATCGATAATATTCTTAAAAGATCGATAACATTCTAATATTATTTACAGAGTTGTAGTTACATAAGTTTAAACTAGGGTTGCATTCATAAGCTTAAATATAATTGTATAAATAAGGTACATGAGGTTTACATAAATTCATAGTTATCTTGATTTGTTTAAACCAGTGAGCGGAGCAGTATAGTCGGACGGAGCCGACCATACGATACCCTACACAACTTCCATGAAAATCTAACATTCTGTGGTTCTATATTCTGAGATTGGGCAATATTTCGCGATATTTGCACACTTTTGACTGGCTAGAGGTCAGCAAATGTTTCTAAAAATCAGTACAGCCCCTCTAATTAATTGTACAGATTGCCTTCACCGTGGGTTGTGTTGTGATGTTCGGCTTTCGACTCGAAAAGTTTAAATAATTAAGTTTTCGGTCCACTTCATCCGAAAATTTATTATCTGATCATCACATAACATTTTAGGCGTTGTCCTTGACCATAACTGGAACCTCATGGAACATTTCAAAGCGATCAGCGCTATATTTCCGCCCTCCAGAGTGGTAATAGGTTAATAAATAATATATGAATACGTAAGCACCTGTAAATATTTAAGTGTAACTCCCTCATCCGACAATATAATTGGTATCAATTTAAAGGTCAACCACTCCTCTTGGATATACTGTCAACTTCTCGGGTCTATGTCCTACAGGGGTTAATATATACGCAATAGAATACATTTTTTTTCATTTTTCACACAAAAGTTAGGGTTCATTTGACCCTCTAAATATTGACCAATCTTTATCAAAACAGGCATGCTGATTCTTTGGCCCAATCCCCTTCTCCATGTAAAAATTCGAGACAATAATTGCGACCTCTGGAGCGACCAGAAAAACCGACAAAAAATCAGTATTTGGTCCATTTCATCCCCTAAATATTAACCGATCTTTACCGATCTTTCATTGGGCCGAACCCATCCTACGTGCAAAATTTCGTGAAGATAGGTCCATAACTGTGGCCTGTATCGTGTTTACAAATTATAATGGACAGACGGACGGACGGACACACATGTCTAGACCGACTCAGCTTGTCGAGATAGGACGATCGGTATACTTAAAGGTGGGTCTAGGATCAATATTTCGCGGCGTTACAAACTCTTGGGGCTGCACAAAGCTATAATACCCTGACAACATAGTTGTGTAGGGTATAATTAACGGTTACTTATGTAAATAATCAATTGCAATTTTATGGTACTATTTACTACCATAAAATTACTTCTCCTACTTCGTCTCCAAATCCGACTCTCATTCATTTAGCGTACACTGAAAGCTGAAACTCATTAACCACGCTTGCCCAAGTTGATGGACTCGGGTCATAAGTTATAGTAAAACTTTATGGCAAATTTTTGTTGTTGAATATTTTGAACTGCTATAGTCCCGTTTGAAATGAGTTTTCTATCATTTCTGGAGGAAGGGAACGAAAGTACACCCTTCAGCATGTCGATTGAGGGTTAAGACAGGAAATTATTGCTCACATTAATACCAGTAATATTGCCGAAGACACCACATACCTAAAATGCAAGGGTTCCGATGAATCCTACCGAATATTTTCAAATCTCTAGAAATGGGGGAATATTGCCCGCCCTCTTTAGGTTACCTTCCGAAGTATATTTTCAAAAAGCCGATACACTTGTCTTCTGTTTTTAGCCCCTTTATAATAAGATTTTGGAATTTCCAGATAATTACTTTTTTGTGTTGCTCAGTGTTATGAGTCGTCCACTTTGAGGAAGTGTAACTGACACACTTCCTCAAAGTTCATAATTTTTCTTCGGGACTCAGTAGAGATTAATGAACACCGGAAAACGTTTTAGATTCGACAATTATCCATTCGAATCCCAGTGTTCTGTTTCTCTACTAACTGCAGTATTTTATGTATCCTAGTAGAGGAGGAGGAATGTATATAGAAGTCAATATCTTTCGGTAGAAGACTTCGACCAGAGGCTCCCACATCAGCCGATACATGAATGTTAACGTTTTGTTTTGGTCCCGCAAACTCTGTATGTTAATTCTGAAGAGTCGCTTCCACCACAGATCTATCTCGATGAGGCCCTATGGATGTGGGTTATGTGCATTCCTTATACTAACATAGTTACCGGGGAAGCATTGGACCATAAGTGGATGTGTTATACACGAATATATCTAGTACACACATAACTAGACTCTAAATGTATGTGACGGTCGTACTCACCGTTCCTCCATATGGATGCCTTGCATGGTGGCAGGGGCCAATAAAAAGATACTGCTGACTAAAATGAATACAGTACAGCGATCGGTTTCGATCCTGACTACCGGAGCACTAAGAATCACACCACAGGCAGCCTTGAATACAATCTTGAACCTCCAACAACTGGACTCTCTGATTAAATTCCAGGCTGCTAGATGTGCCCTGAGGCTTCGAGAAACGGATCATCCACACGACGCCAGGTTGTGACTTCTTGAGGAGGAGTACTAACATTAGTGACTATGTTCCATCTCATAGAGATTTTAATGACATCAGAGTAGAGTTTCCTAGTAGGGAATCCTGGACTAGCGGCTCCTTGCCTCTGCCAGGTCCGTCGTGTTTCACAGACGTGTCAAAGATGGAGGAAGGCACTGGTGCAGGCGTTTACTGCAGGGAATTAGAAATCTACAACTCATATAAACTTAACGATCTTAGCAGCATTTTTCAAGCAGAAATCCTTGCAATCATGAAAGCGGCCGAGATAGTCAAAACACTTACTGCCGATTGTACGGGACCGGTGACTATGTATGTCGATAGACAGACGTCTATCAAGGCTTTAAAGCCGTGCACTATAAACTCAAAAGCAGTTCGTGATATACGAGGGATAGTTAATTTATGTTGGGTTCGTCAGCAATCTTATTCCTTATTCATTACAGGCCACTGCTGGATCAAATGCTCACTTCAAAATGGGACATCGACGTCTATGTGAGGACGTGAGGAAGAGGGGCTAGAAACAATTGAACATATCCTGTAGATGTCCATCGCTGAGTGGCAGAAGACACAGACAGTTTGAAAGATATGAAATTTATGACAGATCCTAGGCTTTGTCCAGAATTTGACATGGCTAAAGTAACCACATTTCTAGGCTCTCCAACTCCGACTGTCTTTCCTCTCTTCCACTCTCTTGCCTTTTTCTTTTCAGTTACCAAAGATGATCACAATGGACAATTGCCTCTGAGTGGACGATAGCCTAACCTAACTAGACTCTAGGTGAGTCATTGAATGTATGGGCGTTGAGGTCATGTGTGGAATCCCGATATTATTTGAAGGATATTATTTAGAAGGTAACAACCGCCTGTTATTGAATTGTACCCCTTACATAAATCACGCCTCAGTATAGTGTTGTTATAAAATAAATAAATAAACACATCCACACGAAAACAATTTTGAACAAAGAACATAGGAATTTTATTTCAATTTAAAAAATAATCATTCAAATTATGGAATTAATTTGGACGTAGAATCATTTTTGCCTCTTAAATAACTTCCGTTCAGATTGCTGTTGAAAAAATGTTAAAATATTATATCTGTCTATTCATATTTGAAACAGACACACCTGCCGTGAACCACAACCCCCTCGAAGCTCCCCAGGGGGGCACACCAATTGTCAGGCTGGATCGACAGAACCAGGGGCAACTGACACCCGCGGTACGGAAAACCTCCGATCAGGCTCGAGTCTCACAACACTAACAATGAACAAAACTGCAACAGCACAGTTAGAACTCCATTCATCATTGTTGTGATCCTTCGTACTAAATTTCTTACCTCGTGCAAGTGACAATCCGTCACCAGTCGATCCGCTGTATTTTCCCAATACTTTGAGGACATACTTTTCAGTTTCTGTGCCAATTATAAATTGATCATACCGAGCAAAAACGTCTATCATTTTCCCAGTATTCCATGACAATGAGCATAGGGACGTGAATTGGTAAGTTCGTTCAATTTATCCAGACCAATGAAAAATTCTCCAGATCTATTACCTAATCCCTGTTTATAATCAGCCAAGGGACGATAGAAATCTTCGGAACCATCCATTCGTCTTTGTATGACTTCTTGAGAAGGAGGACTCATATTATTGACTATGATCTCTCTCACAGAGATTTTAATGACATCGGGGTAGAGTTTCCTAGTAGGGAATCCTTGACTAGTGGCTCCTTGCCTTTGCCAGGTCTGTCGTTTTTCAAAGACGGGCCGAATATGGAGGAAGGCACTGGTGCAGGTGTTTACTACAGGGAATTAGAAACCTACTACTCATACAAACTTAACGATCTTTCCAACGTTTTTCAAGCTGATATCCTTGCAATCCCGAAAGCAGCCAACCTTTCGATTGAGAGATTTGTGCAACCGCCCATTAGCTATTTCATTAGTAGAATCATCTTGATCTACGACAAGGTAGTCGGCAATAGATGGTCAAGAGAATCTAGCTGCAGAATCTCGAAAACTATCTTCAACGAATAATCATTTCCTTTGAATGGATACCATACAACGCCTTCGCCAGATTGGATATCATCGCCTCTAAAATAAATAATAAATTGAAACGGACACACCTGTAGACACAATTTTTATACCACCAAGCTCCAGCGTATTTCATACCACATGTATATCCCGACTCATCATTTTCTTGATCCTTCATACTAAAGTTTTTACCTCGTGCAGTTGAAAATCCATCACCAGTCGAACCACTATATTTCCCCAATACCTTGAGGACATACTTTTCCGCTTCTGTGCCAATTATAAATTGATCATATCGAGCAAAACGTCTATCATTTTCCCAGACAATGAGCAGCTCATAGGGACGTGAATTGGTAAGTTCGGTCAATTTGTCTAGACCAATGAAAAATTATCCAGAACTATTACCAAATCCCTGTTTATAATCGGCCCAGGGACGATAGAAATCTTCGGAACTATCCATTCGTCTTTGTATGACAATGTCGTTCGGCTTTTTGATATGTTCTTGTATTTCTTTTACACTCATCTCTAGTTTATGTATATTCTGTAAAAATCCATAGATTTGAGGATTTCCATTTAAACATTGGGTTAAATTCTGTTGGGTTTCCTCTAACATTTGTTGAGTGCTTGTAAAACTTTGTTCCAGCTCATTTAATTGCTTATGAATGTCATTATTTGAATATATTATATTTGCCGACCTTGGTACCGCCATAAATAAAACAAATAACATCAGATTTGAAATTCGGAGAAAGACAGTGTTGGCCAACAGATGCTACTATGGTCTATGTAAGCAGTTTCGAGACAAGGCCACCTCCCGCCAGACCAAACTCACTCTTTACAGGACGCTGATGCTATCTGTGCTGTTATATGGATCGAAAGCATGGACCTACCTGGGTCGACGGTGAATATCTGTGTCGAATGAACCATGACTTGTACCATCTATTCTAGGGCGTCGACATAGTCAGACGTATCGGGTTGCTGCGACTACGTTGGCTAGGCAATGTTGTGAGAATGGGGCATCCTCATCGCCCCAGCTCAAAGGGAATATAAAAGGGAGCCCACTGATGTATCACAGAGAAGGGGTAGGCCCGGAATTCGATGGAAAGATCAAGTGGAAGACAACATTTCGAAACATGGTTTTTCAAATTGGAAAAACTGCGCACAAGACTGACGCGCCTGGAAATCTGGTTTAAGTTCGGCTTATTGGACAAATGTTCTGACACACAGAATGAATGAGGATGCCCCAGCTCAAAAGGCATGTAAAAGCGAGTCAACTGATGCTTCGCGCAGAAGTGGTAAGGACAGTAGTAATGTCGAACTGGGTCGACTATATGATATCATAACAGACGTCAGACGAACATATCGAAAGATATATAGGGACTTTGCCAAATTTCTTGGAAATCAAAAGAAATGTAGGGGCTTCAGTTCACAATATATATAAAATCGGGCGAAAATATATTTGGAAGCTATATCTAAATCTGAACCGATTTTCACGAAACTTAGCACACATTATTCCAGACTCAATTCAGTATGCTATACCAAAGTGCGTGCAAATCAAAAGAAATGTCAAATTGTGTCAAATTGCATCCAAATCTGATTATAAATGCGACCTGTATTTTTTTACAATTTAACACAAAAAGACGGACAGAAGGAAGTACGGGTGGACATGCATAAATCGTCTTAGAAAGTGTTTCTATGCATATTCTCAAAAGGAACTATGGGTGTACCTCGTTTCCTTTTGCTTGTTACAAACATATGCACCAAGACATAATACCCAGTACCACAGTGTGGTGAAGGGTATACAAATATATACAGTTTACAGGGTTTCTAATAATAGAGCTATTGTTGTGGTAACGCTCATTGCTGACCATGTTTGTACTCCTGTCCACCCCCTAAAGCGAGCATTTTGGGCACAGGCTCTAGCTGTTGATAATTTATGCCAACGTCAAAGCTGACAACATTAAATTGCTAAGCTTATGATGGCGAGACGCAGACATTTCGATGGATGGATAGCTGGATGGCTGGTTGGCTGGGGGTATAAATGCTGGACCAGCATGTGGACGCAAACATACATGACTACATGAACGTACCTGCCTCTCGAAGTAAGTTGTTAACTGACATATTTCTGAAAATAATTTTTGAATGATCTACACTTTATCTATGGCTTAAGTCCAGTGATCGATGGCATGGCTTACAAAATGTAACATAATACAAGTTCGATGGCAACAGACAGCAACGGCTCAGGTATGATATTAGCTGGGAACTGGCAAATACTAAAATAATTAAGTTTATTTGGCCAGAGGAAAAAATAACATTTGAGGGGGGACATTAAATCATATTCGCCATATATCCCCCTCCACTCACTCTCTGTATCTCCCTTCCAGTTGAAGAGTTTAGCTCATTAACTGAGTGGCGGGGTGTCAAATGTTCGACTAATAAACATCAATGAGTAATTTGGCCAATAAGCCAGCAATTGTCAATCAATTGATTTTTATTTCATGAGAGTTAACACGAAATGTGTTAGGGGAAGGTATCCCAAGGTCAGTGATGCGAACAAAAGGGACATCAAAAAAACGAAAAAGAAAACAAAAAATCCATTAACACAAATACTCCATGGGTGGTTTGTTACATACAATAAAATATTTTGTGTAATAAAAACGAATTGGAAATCTGTTCGGAAGAAATCTGGATAAGCCCATGTTGGATTTAAAATAAGACTCCGAAAGGTGGAAACAATAATAAAGGTGGTAGGTTTATTATTATTTTTTTTTTTGTAGATCACAACAACAATAAGTGGTGCAATAAAAAAATAATTTCAAATTATTACGAATTGTTACGAAATGTCAAGTTCACACCAGGACTTCCTGTCGTGTCACTCTTACATAACTGAATGCCATTGTTTCGTTGTTGTGTGTCCATTAACAAGGACAATGATCGAGTCGTTTCTAATAAGGGTGGGAAGAGATCATAAATTAAATTTGGTAAACGAATACATGTCTTCAATGAAGGCGTGTGATATGAAACCAAAATAAATAATTGGTAGATCAAAAAATGTGGATTTTTTAAAGAATATTTTTTCAACACCTATCACAGCCTTAGGCGTGGATTTTTTAAGAAAAAATTTTTAACACCTATCACAGCCTTAGGTGTGGATTTTTTAAAGAATATTTTTTTAACACCTATCACAGCCTTAGGCGTGGATTTTTTAAAGAATATTTTTTCAACACCTATCACAGCCTTAGGCGTGTCTTCAGTGAAGGCGTGTGATGTGAAACCAAAAAAAAAAAAAAAAAAAAAATAATAATAATAATAATTGGAGGATCAAAAATCCGAATTTTTTAAAGAATATTTTTCAACACCTATCACAGCCTTAGGCGTGGATTTTTAAAAGAATATTTTTTCAACGCCTATAACAGTCTTAGGCATGGATTTTTTAAAGAATATTTTTTCAACACCTATCAACGCCTATAACAGTCTTAGGCATGGATTTTTTAAAGAATATTTTTCAAACACCTATCACAGCCTTAGGTGTGGATTTTTTAAAGAATATTTTTTCAACACCTATCACAGCCTTAGGCGTGGATTTTTTAAAGAATATTTTTTCAACACCTATCACAGCCTTAGGTATGGATTTTTTAAAGAATATTTTTTCAACACCTATCACGACCTTAGGCGTGAAGTTTTTTAAAGAATATTTTTTAACACCTATCACAGCCTTAGGCGTGGATTTTTTAAACAATATTTTTTAACACCTATCATGACCTTAGGCGTGGAGTTTTTTAAACAATATTTTTTAACACCTATCATGACCTTAGGCGTGGAGTTTTTTTAAAGAATATTTTTTTAAGACCTATCATGTCCATAGGCGTAGGTTATATTTTTCAAAAACTATCATGGCCTTAGGCGTCGATTTTTTACAGAATATTTTTCAAGAACTATCATGGCCTTAGGCGTCGATTTTTTACAGAATATTTTTCAAGAACTATCATGGCCTTAGGCGTTGATTTTTTAAAGAATATTTGTTCAAGTATATTTATATATAAGCACTTTTTATACCCTTCACCACAATGTGGTACAGGGTATTATGTCTTTGTGCATATGTTTGTAACAGGCAAAAGGAAACGAGATAGACACATGGTTCCTTTTGAGAATATGCATAGAATCACTTTCTAATTCGATTTATGCATGTCCGTCCGTCTGTCTGTCTGTCCGACTGCCCATGTTAAATTGTAAACAAAGTA